CGCGGTCCTACTCGTAAATCTGGGGGATCATCATCGTCACCGGAAATGGGTCGAACCCGCATTGAGGACCAAGCTTACCTTTTTTTTATTATATTTCGGCATAGAGCTCATTTAGTTGTAATGGTCAGTTTAAGACGTAATGAACCCTGATTTTGGTTTTGTGTGTGTGTGTGTGTGTGTGTGTGTCAGCAAGATCGAAAATTGCATGGGGTACAGTTTATAACGGCTCGCTTCTGATAAAAACTTCCGTAGTTTGATGGCCCAAGTTATTTTTGAAGTTAATTTCCAAAAAAATTTATACAAATTATTATAAATAAAGCTCAAGAAGTTTGATAATTTTTATACTTGATTGCATTTTTATCATACAAGTAAGAAAAGAATGATTCGTTTTTCCAAAAATAATAAAAATATACACAGGTAAAGAGGCAAGCGCTTCAAACGCTCAGTCACATCCTAGTCATACGTATATGAAAGGTTTTCTTTGGTTTTTTGTAGATAAGCGCTTCGTACTAGAATGTATAATCTGAGGTACCTCGAAAGCAGACTCAAGAATCTCCACCATTGCGCATGAACACACGACCTAAATGGAGAAATCAAGTACATTTATCCTCGTGATCCTTCAAATAATATAACTCGAAAAAATCTCTAAATCCTAAATCAACCTGCCACACACATACACAAGGTACTTTGCTTCTTGCTACTTCAGCCCAGCAGTAAAAAGTGCAGAAAAAATAAATATACTTACACACACATTATACGCGTATTTTCTAACATGCTCGGCAAGTATCTGGGTAAACAATTATATACAACGTATAAGTAAGTAAGAAGGACCGCTAAAAAGTCGCTCGACTCACGGGCCTCCCTAAGACTGCTTTCCCTTCAATCTGGTAAAAGTCAAATATTAGATAAATAAATAGACGCGCGAATTCTCACGTTCGTAGTCGTAGAGCATCGACATTATAAGTATATGATATACTTGGTGAAACAGCTGAAAAAACTATTTGAAAGCTTCGGTTAAGTGAGTCTTTTGTGTCGCAAAATGCGATTTGTCCTAATATCTGTCGATTTTATTGGTCTTATTGGGGGTACTGTAAAATGTTTCGAAACTCACATTGATGCGGGAAACGCGGCTGGCCAAAGAGTTCATTCTAAATTTATGCATAAATTAGTGAATTTTGAGCGTCCATTAGAAAACCATTAGTAGTGTGTAAATAAGCAGTAGAGTGCACAATAAAGCAAAAGGGAATTTTGTAACCAGAATAAATAACCACGATTCGGTAAATGTCATCGGTAAATGTTGATCTTCAAAAATCGAAATCACAATTTAAGGGAATAAAAGTATTATTCTCTTGACAGGTTGATACTTGTCAGTGATGTCGTATACATTTTTTCTCCACAAAAAAGAAAATAAGTGTCTTTTTTGCACTGCTGCTCCTCATCTTTAATCTACATTTGAATAACATTCATAGGGGTGGATGTTGCAAAAATGCGATAAAGTCTAAGCTTGCGTAGGTACGAAAGAAAGCGTTAAGAGCAGTGCGCGACGGCTGCTGAGTAAACAAGTTCGAACATCAAACATAAAATGCCGCTCGGAGAATTTGACGTATGTGTGTATGACAAAGATATGAGAAGCGAAGGTATCAACACTCGCATTTACAAACATGTTTACAAGATATCGCCAAACTCGAACGTTCTCGTGAAATAATGTAAAAAGTATCGGGATGATTTTTTTAATATTAAAATTGATGAGAATTGATGGTATTCAAACCATTCGTGGATTTTATTAGCGTCTATGAAAATTAACATTTACTATACTGATTATTATAGTCCATCCACATATAATGAACGTTCCCCTACTTTCCCGTCATTTTTTGGACAAGTAATCGAGAGTTGATATTAAAACTAATGAAACTCTTAAAAGCCGATCAAATCTTAACAGTTTTTTTATTTACCTCATAAAACTTTTTCACACAGTTATTATTTAAGTAAATTTCAGTTACGGTACACTTCGAAAAATATGTATTACACTCAACTCATTTTTATCACGCTAACGTAAAACTTGAACTGATTTGATTCGCTTGAAAGTGGTCGAAAGTAAAAGAACACGAATACACGCAGTGCAGTTATCGCAAGTCGAGCTGTCAATATTTTATAAAAGTGCGATACATCTTCGAAACTACTTTTACATTTATTGATATGAAATGTTTCTCGAAATATCGGCATGCTCCAAAAAAATTACTTTTCTCATTTTCGTAATTAATTATAAAGTCCACCACCGATTGCAAAACTTTTCTGACAGGTTTTGGGTTTTTGACATCACAAGCCATGTCTGCTTGTTACATAGTACGAGTGCCATCTATGTTTTCATGAATGTAAGAGTATTCACATTTCTAAGTGAAATATCATGTACCATCTCAAAAAGTTAAACTAAGTCAGGAGATAACTTGGATAATCAGCAGTAGCAGCTGATTTAATACGATTTTCAGCTTGCGCATTAAAGGCTCAAAAAAGGGCTTAGAATTAAAAAATTTTCATTCAATTTTTTTTCCATAATCTCCTTTTATTATTTTTAAAACTCAATAATTAAAATTTTTCATTGTAATAAGGTCAATGTGGGTTTTTTCGCTCATGTCTCGCTATATATTCGCTCAATAATTAATATTAAAGATCTAATTTAACACAAAAAAATTTTTTTTTTAAATTGGTCGTATTGAGCTGAACATGTTTAACGTAACTATATTATTTAAATACTGGTATTAGGTTTTGATCTCATGTACCTCAAACTGCATAAAAAATCAAAAGTTTCAAGAATATTCTCAAAATTGCGCTCGAGTTTGATTTTTAGCTCAGTTGCAACAGTTCTTCTATATTACGTACCAAAAAAGGATTCTTTTTAACAGCGCTTGAATTTCGAGCAATCGCTCAATCACGAAAAAAAATTGAGCAAAAAAGCAAAGTGCGTTATCCGAAGTACGAACTACTAACGGCTATCCATTTATCCTCCTTTCATCCATCTTCAAGTATTTTACGCATATAATTTTCAACGCGATTATCTGTCTCCTTTTCTCCTTTTTTTAAATAGGTTGAAAGGAAAATTTATTGCATTTTTTTAACTTCTATACATAAAAAACTTTCGTTGCTGATTTATCGGCAGTGGTTATGAATTGTTTCAAAATTTTACCCTTTATGTGACTTCAATTACGCGTTTTTCTTTTATGAAACGCAATATCTTTTAATATTGTTAAGAGTAACAAATAAAAGAACACGAAACGACACTTTGAATTTGGTAAAAACAACATTCGAGATGCATCGAATCGTATAATCGAACCAAACAAGGGTATACTTATTTTGTACGATAAAAAATATGATATTGAATTACCGATTTTTTTTTCGGGTAACGATTTCTCTCAAAATTCATGTTACAGGGTATTAAAGGATAAACAGAAAATTATATTATTGGGTCGTCCTTATAGCTTACGGTACATGCTGTGCACGCCTGTGTGTACGTACACGCGTATTATGAGCGTACGCACAATATGTATTCATGAAAATAAACACAGGTTCGCTGCGTGAACTGGTGTGCCGCGGTGCCAAAGTGTCAAAGCGACATTAAACGGAAGCATTTGGCTAAATAAATGAAGACATAAACGTTATCCCAGCAGCCTGCGTTATACTATAATACTGGGCAATCGATAGTAATTTCAGCCCAGAAGGAAACGATCGATTCGTTTGCTTTCTCGTTATAACCGCGTGCTGCACGCTCGAGAGTATCGTCATTGCTCTGCCGTTCTGCCGCGGTATTCCGCGCGCGCGCGAGGTACTAATAAACTTGCGTGTACGTAATCGTTGAACTGGATTTAATTGAGTCACTGTCAGAGAAAATAAGAAAGAGAGCTGCACTGCACACACACACACCGTGCGTCTTTTTGTACACACAACTTCTGACCATCGTGCGCAGCAGCAGCATCCGCACCAACAACGTCAGTAGCAGTGCGTGAAACGCGTGTACCAAGAAACTTACGCACGCACAGCACACACACGCACTCGCGAACGTACCACTGTACTCGGCTCTCGACTCGCGAGAGTATCTCATTTCAGACACCGACTCTTCGCACCCGAGTAATTGACCCAGTTCGCGCGCCGTACGCGCGTATACGGTATTTGCACAATTTCCGAACGACGACTATACATATGCTGTAATTACAATCGCTCGCTCGCGTCTCTGGCTGCGCTGCTCTAAAACGACAAGTGAAAGGGACAAATAAGGGCAGCAAAAAAAACGACGCCAGTACGCATGAGTGTGTTATGTAGCGTACGTGAGATTTTCGTTTAAAGGCATAAATCTGATGCTTTTTGCCCGAGCGCGCGGGCAACTTGACGCCGCACGTTGGAGTCCTTGTGTATACCTTCGTATTCCATCGTCCTGTATTTCACCTGCCCCTGCTCGCACTTAATGTGCCGAGTGAACCTTCGCAGTGAAAATGGGAATGATATCCCATTGAAAAAGACATTTTTAGTCCACTTAAGCTCGTAAGCTTCTGGTGCTAAGCTGATACGTACATATGTGGTATGTACGTGTGTGCACATATTATATATATACACAGGTACACAATAAGCTCACGTGCGTGCGAAGCGCGTTAAGTTCGAAACTTTCTCTTTCAATTAAGCGCGTATTCGGGGCGCATCAGCTCTGCTGCTGTCCTGTGCAGATATTGCTGCTCGCACGAGACGCGAGATACAAGAACGCGATCATAAATCTGGACTGGATCAGTTTCACTGGAAAATTCCTTTTTGTTTGGCAATTTTTCGAGTCCTTTATGAAAATTTTATCGAGTCAATAACGCGAGAGCAAATTTAAAAGTTCAGTGTATTTTTATCAACACACCGTATGTTGTTGTTTTGGTTTTTGAACAATGCAAAACAGCGTGTATTATAAACCCAACTTGCCGTCGATTCAATTGCAAAATTCCATGTGCTTTAACTTAACCTAACAATTTAATCAAAGTGAAATGTTTTAATTAAAATGTACGTGTGTGTTGTTTCTATATTATATTTGATTTATTCATCAAACGAGAGAATGAAAGTCATAGTAGAATAAAAATAAAGCCAGGTAAGTATGACAAATTTTTCAATCAAGTTTTGAAAATTCACTGCTTCGAGTTAAAAAAAACTTCAACTCTTAGATATGATATGGTAATACTCGAACATGAAGAAGATGAAGATTCGCTCAGCTTATTATTGCTTCCGATGGCGACTAATCACTGTAACCTATCCCAATGAGAATGATCCGAAGAAGACAGCCAGGACTAGAGACTGGACTTATCCTACTGGCTTTGCAGGTTATAAATTTCGGTATAGATAACATTCCGATCACCACCCTGCTCGGGGTCTTGGCCCAGAGTCTATTGTACGCCGGCGTGATCAAAGTCAAGTGGAACCCCGAGGACGTGTGCATCTCGGCCTCGCGCATCATAGTCAACAAAAAGTGGCGCTCTTTATTTCTATCCAACTTCGAGCATGGCTCCGACATACATCTCTACTACAACATGGTATCGTTCGTGATCAAGGGCTCGAGTCTCGAGCCTATCTACGGCTCGCTGAATTTCGCTCTGTTGCTTGGCTTGTTCGCCGTGGGCTGTGGCTCTATGTACGTCTGCCTCGGCTACGCACTCACGAAACTAACGAACAACTATTTTCATTACCACGTGTGCGCCATCGGATTCTCGGCGATTCTGTTCGCTTTGAAGGTGGTGCTCGTGTGCGAGAGCGAGGACAGACCCACCGAGGTCGGCGGCTTTCGAGTGCCCAGCAAGTTTTCCGTCTGGATGGAGCTCGTGCTGATACACGTGCTCGTGCCGAATTCGTCGCTACTGGGCCATCTGAGCGGTACCTTGGTCGGTTGTGTCTATTGTTACACGAGCATAGGCGACACGATAGACGATAGCTTGACGAAGTTGTCGTGTCAATCGATCAATCACGCGAACGAATTCTACGATCGTCGGGCCATCGCATTATTTTAAGAAAATAGTTGAAAACCATTTTCATCGAGGCCGAATCGTGCTTGTTGTGTACGAAAAGAGATTGTATAAAAATTTGATCTGTTTTAACGCGAAGAGATGATTTTCCAAAATAAAAGCAAATTGCCAATAACATTGAAAATGTGTGTCACGACTTTCGTAAGAATAATTAGATTCTGCTACGTTTTCGTGTTTGTTGACTAGTCGACCGTTTGGTTTAAATAATAATATCCCTACTCTAATTCATTCAGTTGTTGAACGATATTGGTCAGAGAATGACACAAATCCGGCATACTATGGAAAATGAGTAAACATATATTTTTTTCTTAGTGTTCGTGGTATTATTTGTAGCGTATAATTTTTTGATAAGATTTATAAAGTAATTTTTTCAGCGCCTACAATTTTGTTTTGTGAAACATTTCATTGACGCTATAATTAAAATAATACGTGAAAGTGTATTTGGAATTGATCAAATCTATTGGAAATTTATGTGAAAATAATTTAATTTTGTGTTAAATTTTGTGTTCATCGATACATTTGTGTGTATATTAATCTGATTGAGATAACTAAACTAATATATTTAGCCCGCAATTTAAGTTGGTCAGAGATTGAAAGTATTACTGGTGAAAATAGTGATAATGACCGAGTTCAAACGTGATTTTTCGTCTCTTCTGCTGCGCTACGCAGCTTTAAAAAAGTCCATCGATGTAAATATTTGCTTACTATCTCACTAATAATAACCGCAAATTGAATCAGGGCTTGAATAAATTATTCAATATTTGTTTTTTAGGAGAAAACACCGGACAAGCGTTTGTCAAATCAACAAATATTAGATTTGATACACGACACTCTGCGAGAAACCCTCGACATCAATTTGCAAACAGTCGATGAGGCTTCATTGAAAACCCCGGCAAACGACATTATAATTACGACCCCCGATGCACCTGATGTTTTAAAAATGGATTATAATTTTAACAACAGCTATCGAGTTGGATTGCTTCCATTGTTCGTTATAATTTCATGAAATTTAAATTATAATTTCGACGCTTTTGATAGTTTTACATTAAAGCGACCGTTTTAAATTTCAGACCATCACATCTCAAGTATATTCCTAATAACTTGCCAAATGTTTGTAAAATACATGATCAAACAAATGATAATCCCGACAATATAGAAGAAGTTGAAGAAAACAAAGGCACGGAATCGAGTGATAATTCGGTAATATAGAATAGGCCTATGAAAATGAAAAAAAATCTTAGAATAAATCTTAACGAGTATCATCGAAAAATTTTTATCGCACGAAATTTTTCCAGCAGAACAGCGAAAATAAAGCTGAAGAGACGTTGAAAGGTCCCGAAGAAGAGCAAAAGTCGGAAAATGTTCAAAACTCAGAACCGTCACAGGAAGCACCCGAAGGGCCCACAGATGTACGCGACGCAGTCGATATCTACAATAAAGTCGAACAAGCCCGTTTACAAATAAAGACAGCTGAGAGCACCATCGAAGAAATTCGAGAGGTAAAAATGAAAGTGTTGAATTTATTAATAAACTCGTTGTTTGTAAACAAGATGGTTGGCTACTAACAGCCCGACTGAGCAGTACAATTAACGTAATTCGTGTGCGTACAGATGCTGCGTCCAAACATACCGAACAGAAGATTATCGGTAATAATGGATATGCCACCTATAACGAGGCGCTCGGCGGAAAAACGTCGCCACTCGTTGGCCGCGGCTCCGTCGTCCACGTCGATGCGCACCATTCACCGAGCCCACCAGCGACGTCTGTCCCTCTTGCATAATCAGGAAGAGTTTCCGGTGACTCCAACCACGACGCGGCCCAACTTGGCCTCGACTCCGACACTGTCAACGTCGTCGGCGACGAAGAAACCGCCAGCGCCGCCGCCATCTAGCGCATCCAAGTCGGTAACGAAATCGGCGAATCGCTCGATGAGCCTCGGCACTCTGCACGAGGTCAATAATAATCATATTAAGTCGTCGGTGGCTAATGTGAGCATCAGCGAGACGACTAAATCGCACTTACCCAAACCAAATCCAAAGTATGCGCACATACAGAGCACTATACCCAAAACTAGCGGTTTACCAGTTAAACGTTTTAGCAAAGGTTAGTTAGGCTGAGAGTTTTACATTTTCACAGAAAGATTTTACAATTTTTTATTTTTGTTCGTTAATTTTTTTAAAAATTATAAAAATTTGTTGATAGATGTTCAACGAATAGAAATCATTCGCAATAATTGTGAATTATTGCAATAAATGAATATTTATATTAGTCTGTATTTAAATTAAGTTTGAAATTAATTTTTGAGAGATTTGTTAAATTTTATATACTCAAACACAAAGCAACGTTTTCATTCAAAATTAATTGTTAAAATAAATGAGCGTTGCAAATACTACATTACGTCTAAGATATTATGCTTCCACACTACTTGACTTCATCCAATACTAACTCACTTTTCGTTTTTTCTTTTCATTTCGAAGTTTGTGTACAGTTCAAATTGTACAAGCAACTCAAAAGGCCAATTCAATCATTTCTCAACTTCAATTCTTCACGTTGTATATACACTGCACTCGAGAAAAAAATTAAATTGATTTTTCACCAATTCGAGTATACGTGACCGCTAGATTGCAAAGGTGGCCGCACTTCTATTCGTAGCAATAATTTATTTTTAAATTATTTTTATACAAGGAAAAATAGTTGGGATCAAAATTATTCATTATTTAAACTTGATAAAAGCTGCCTTGATTGAAAAGTTTAAGGCGTTGAAAAATAGTTCAGTGGTATAAAAGCTTTAAACCTAATTAAGAATTCTATTGATATTACTATAAAACAGTTTAAATCTCATTCAGTTCATTACTTTTAGCACAAAGAAACAACACAAAATAATGAACTTTTTTTCATCAAAATGTTAAAAGCCCGTACATATAATTTTAAAGATTGTACCTGCACATGTCGTTTCGAGGTTTGCCATTCTCTCACAATTAGCGAGAAAAATTGTTGTTTATCGTCAATTAACCCAAGTTTTCTTTCACTCGGATCGCGCCACCTCTTACACGAGTAACGCGAAACGACACTCGAGTCTTAGGCTGAAATTCATTCATCGAGATGACTGACTGTACTTTTAAAAAGCTGCACCTGCACGTACAGCCAAGCGAATTCCAGAAAGAGCAAATTTCTGTATTCTCGCGACGCAGACACGCAGGGAGAGAGGTGTGTGCATGTTCTCTCTTTCTCACTCTCTCATTCTCTTGGCTTTCATATACGCATATACGCGATACGGATAGGATTCGTATATACGTACAGGTGTCACGTTCGTTACGTATATTGTGTTCGTTGTTTTTACGCAAGGTGTGCCAAAAGGGACACGCATTCCAGCTACTGCAGCTCCAAAACCCGCGAGTGGCAGTCGACGCGAGATTTATCGTCGTTTTTGACGCGCATCTACGCGCCGAGTCTACGTCGAGCTCGCGAGATGGACTCCTTATGTACGCGTTTTTGCTACACGGTAAACTTTATTTCTTTTCAAGCGCGAGCAACGTGTCAGCTCGCATGCAAGCACGTGCGCGTGTGCATTAGATACGTGCGCATTTTTTCTCGGCACGATAGGACCTGCTCGCGCGCCACTGAATTATACCAGATGTACCAAGTCATGGAAGTTTTTGCCAGGAGAAATTATAATTGTTTCGGCTCGCGTCGAGCTTGATAATAAGTGCTCTCGCGGGCGTCGATTTGCAAAATCATCGGAACTCTCGCGACGAAGCACCGACTCATTATAGAATCTCGACAGCAGAGAGCCTCGCCGCCGACGACTTGACGCATTAAACGTCGTCGTTTACCACTTGCATTGTGATGCATCGAACCAAAATATCAGAAACTTAGGCGTCGTCGGTGCTATTAGCGATATATCAGAAAGCCGCCGCTGGTGTGTGTGTATGCGTGCGCTTGAAGATTGACGCCGACCACTCAAGCTCCATTAGCGATCGGCTGCTTAATTACACGACGAAGCCGAGGCTGTACTTTGACATGGACCACTAGTACTACTCGACTAACAAAGTCGTCGTCATCGATCATAGAGGTTGCCTGCTATATTGCGTATAGGGATTATCCGCCGTAAGCTTTGGATTTCGCCGCACTGCACTCCGACGTACAGACTGTGCTGCAGTTACTTAAGCTCGAATTGTATAATGCCTATCGAGATTTACTCCTGTGTCCTCCACTGTTTAAAAAAACCTTTAATTTAATGCAAATTTAATGTGAGGTCAGACATTAAAATTAAAGCAACCGATACTGGATTTTATTAAATGCAAATGTAAGCATTATTTTTATACAAAAATAACGATAAAGATTTAATTCTATTCTCAAATTTAAATAATTTGATAAAAAAGTAACTAATTTATTTTTTATGTTACCTGATAAAAAATTTATGAAAATTGAATCATAATTAAAACCAGCTTCTACCACTAGATGGCGAGTACTTTTATCTGTAAATCTGCAAGCGGCTAAGTGAAAATAATCTTATAAGTCAAATTTCTATTCAATAATTATTTAGTTTTTGGTTCTAATACTACTGTACTTATCATTTTAAAGATGAGAATAAAAAAATATTCTTATCTTGGGAATGAAATTTTATGGCTCTTTATCATGTGAGCTTCAGATCTTTTCAAAGTCGACTTTTAAAAATGGGCAGTTGCATGTGGGTTAAGCAAATCGTTTTGAAAATTGAAGGGTTTCAAGTATTGGAGCTGGATAAAATCCTATGCAAACAAACACCCTTTAATATGCTCTTGTCTTTCGAGCGCTGAAAATTTTTATTGTTATGGCTTCAAGACATTCAATGCTCTCATTCAAAGTTCCAAGTACATTTACGGTTTTGCAATGAATATTCAAACCAGAGTAGTCATTCATTTTGTAGTAGACGTCTTCAAAACCTTCCAGTAAACTTATATTAGTGTGCAACATCTACTTGCACTATTTCCTGCTATTATTTTTGTACTTTATGATACATAATTCACGGTAGCAGAGGCAAGAGAATGCCACGATTTCAATAAAACTTAGATTTTGAGTTGAAATACCCATAAATAAATATAAATTATAGCAACATAAATATCAAGGGTTGCTCACGTGTTAACGCTTATTGCACTAGCCTGTAGAATCTATAATTATTATTCGTACTTCACAAATATTCATATCGTCCAGAAAAGATGTGAAACAGATCGGAATGTTTAAATGTTGTGAACGTTTTTATTTACTGAAATTCAATACCTAAGTGGATAAATTTCTTACAAAACGTGATAAAAATTCCTTAACTACGACGTGACCAAGAATTTATTTTGTTTAAATTATAATTAGCCATAATTTTATTACAGTTCGATGATTGCCCTACGAGTTAAGCAACATAATGGACAAGAGCGGAAGAGAGACACATTTACACGATAAAGCATGAAATTCTAAACTTGCGAGTTGGCATTTTAATATTAATCAATCACTGAATATCATGTTCACGGATATCTCAGGAGTTAATGTGTTCGATCGCCACCGAAAGAAACGAGCATGTTAGTTCTACACTTTTCAGGGCAACAGCTCTGAGCTAACATTTTTAATAAGCGATAAACAATTTTTCAAGCGGACTGATCAGGTTAAAATTATTCGATGATCGTGTTTCTTCTTCAAAACTATGAAATCATAGATTTTATCAAGAAGCAATGTTGATTTATGTGCGAAATAATTACTTCCTGTGGTATAAAACTCTTCTTACGCACACTCACTCACGCAGTTCTGTTTAATCACCATACCCTATTTTATAAATTGGCCAATCGACTCAATTCCGTGAGGATGAAGAAAAAAAAATAATATAATCAATTCTCAAAGCTCACTCGCGCAGCGTAGTGGTATATGTAGTGCGTTTGCATGCAAAGCCGATACGATCAGTCAAGGAGCAGTCAATTTTCAGCAAATTACCGTGAGACTTGTTTCGGAGCTTCCGCTCGGCGTGTCACCGCCGCCGCGGCAGTCGTCTCTGGTCCCTTTTATATGATACACAGGTGCACGTCTCTCGCGATATAATACTTGCGTGCGCGCGGCTTGAAGATGTTCGACGAGGTGCGAAAGAGCCCAAACGTCAACAGTGTGTATCGTATGCGCTTTCGGGACCAAAAATGAATTAGCGACGTTTTTGCTGTGTCCATAAGATCATAATACGCGGGATTGTGTGCTGATTTTGATGTGCCACTGGTTTTTTGTACAAATAAAAAATTTGTGAGCCGCGAACGGTGATTAATCATCACGCTTGTACGAGTATAATGAACTGAAAAAATGTACCTTGGCCATGCCTTTTGCAAGATTGAAATCAGTCTGTATGATATACTCGGGGTCTCTTTTTGAAAAAATAGAAACTTCTCTGCTGCATCTTCGCAGGGCGCGCACCTGCCTATGGGTTTTACAATAAAAAAACTCGTTAATGGCTTGAGAAAAGTGACAAACTTCCCCAAAAAACGTAACTGCAAATTATCTCAAATACTCGAGTGAAAGATTGAAAAAAACCCCGCTGTCAGTAATATTTTTTCGTCCTTTTACGCTAAGTAAAAAATTATAGAAACAGCAATATTTACATACAAATATTTTGCTATAATGCAGTGTATAAGTAAAATAAATTAACAATGAATAAAAGCAATTAATTAACTTGCCACTCATAACAGAGACTGGCAATCAAAATGAAACGTCGTGTATGTTTTTGTGCAAAGTTGCCTCAAACTAGTTAGGCAAAACTCAATGCAAATAATATGTTCTCGCTTATGAATCGAGAACATACCAAACTTTTGGTATAATATAACGACGCGCCTAAACCTGCTGCTGCTGCCGGCCGTGTGCTCCGAGTCCGCCCGAGTCCCAGAAGGAAGGTGAACATAAAATGTGCCCCGGAGCAGCAGCGTCAGCTCGCTCGCGCGTCTGCTGCTCGTTGGACTTTTATATTCTGGTTGAGACCAGAGATAGTTTTTTATGCATATACGCAGGCACAGGCGCAGCGAGATGATTACACGTGTCTTTTTAACACAAAAGGCTCGAAAACCAACACCGTAATACGACGGCTTCGGTCTGCCCTGTAATCTATTTTCGACTTCGTACACTAGCTCTCTCTCTCTCTCTCTCCCTCTCTCGTCGGTCGGTCTACCTCCCGTTCTTCGCTTTCTTCTTCCCCCCACGGGAGGATTGATGTGCGTTTTAAAAAGAAGACGAGGGGGCTATATGTATACGCGACTTCGATGAGAGACGACAGCGCGAGGCCATTTTTAAAAAAATGCAGGCCCCGAATTATTATTTGTTTTTGCCC